AATTCTGGATTTTCTAACACATGGCACAGCGGAGAGAATCCAGACTTGGAGTCCAGAGGACTGGGGACAGGTCCCATCCCTGCCCCAAAGAGCTACAGGACCTTGGGCAAATCCTCTCCCAAAGCAGATGGGCCAAAGGCAGGGCCCACTGGCAGTGTGATGTTCCATCTTGTGACTCTTGTTCTTTGGAGCCGGTGGTTGAGCTGAACTGATGATCTGAATTAGTCACAACTGTTGGACTAAGCAGACGTGGGGACCCAAGCCATGTGCAAAGCCTGTGGGAGGGAGATGCCAGCCTCAGGGAAGGAATGAAGAACGGCGGGGTGAGGAACACACGTGGACAATGGACTAACGAAGAAGAGGAGGGAGGCAACCTATGAAGGCTGTCAGATTTATCCCTCCAAGCCCCCACACAGAAATACCAAAGGAGCGGTTGTCACGTGATGTCCAAGGCAACCAACCAGGCCACTTCTAGAATGGGAGCACTTGCTGTACAGTTGTCAAATGTGGAGATGACGGCAATCTAACGGCACTTTAACTGGTGTCTCTGTGGAGGTGAGGTGAGGAAGGGCAGCGTGGAGACCCAGTCTCCATGGGGAGGCAGGAGGCTAGGGCTGGCTACGCACTGTGTAGTCACAGTGATGAGAGGTAGCCTCTGGTTTTCAGGTTGCGCTCACTCTGCCTGGGACCTAAAATCCTCTTCCTTCTTCACCAGAATTCCTCCTTCAAGAAAATACCTAGTAATTCCAGGTGCTCTGATCTACAAAATGCTAGAATTATTTTTATGTCTTATTCCCAAGGAGTATTTCGGTTTGGCTTAAGTTAAAGGAACAGACTGTTAGGAGTTCTTCAGAAGCCAGTGAACATTTGGAGGCACACTTCCCTTGGGGACCTGCCTGCCAGGCCCTGAACTCACCCCCACACATAATACTGGCCCCAAAGAGAATAACCTATCTCACACTGAAAGTAGCATGCTTGGCTTCTGGTTTAAAACGGTGTCTGAGTAGCAAACAGAAAGAAGAGAAAAAGAAGCAAAGGAAGGAAGGAGAGAGGGAAGAAGGAAAAATCATTCTGAAGAATGAAAAGAAGAGTGGGAATCTGGAAAAGACTGAATAAAGGATAAAGAATACAAAAAAAGTATAAAGTATAATAAAGGATATAGAAAAAGAAGACAAGAAACTGTGCTTAATTGCTCAGTCGTGTCTGACTCTGTGTGACCCTGTGGACTGTAGCCTACCAGGCTCTTCCATCCATGGGGATTCTCTAGGCAAGAATACTGGAGTGGGTTGCCATGCCCTCCTCCAGGGGATCTTCCCAACCCAGGGATCGAACTCAGGTCTCCCGCATTGCAGGCGGATTCATTACCATCTGAGCCACCAGGGAAGCCCTACAAGAAACTGATTTGCTTAATAGAATACAAAATACAGTGTTTATGAAATAGCAGTGAACATCTTTAAGGACAGGAGGGGCTGCAGTGAAAAGGCAGTAAGATGATATGAAAAGAGAACCAGATCACATGAGGAAACATATCAAGGAAAGCAAAACTGTGTAGCCGCAAATTCATCAGCGCTCTTACAATTCTGCACGACCTTTAAGTATTTCCTAGGAATTATTTGTAGGAAGTAATCATAAATGTGTGTGCAGATAAGCTATGAGGATGTCTGTCATAGCACAGTTTATTTCCTCAATAAGTTTGAGGGAAAAGATTGAAATGTTCAACAAAGAGGAATTGGTTTAATACTTCATGGTATATCTGGGTAGTGAAGTATTATGGTCATTAAAAACTGCATTGTGAAATATCAATATTATTCTATTTAAATAGCATGAGGAAGTATGTATATTACACTTGAAAATGAAGACAAAGCAGTTTGTAAGACATTGTGCTTATTATGACCCCATTATTTTAAATGACACATGTGTATTAATTCACAGAAAAATGCCTGGAGGATATGTATGAAAACATTAACATTGGTTACCTTTGGGTGGTGAAATTATGGTGGTTCAGATTATTTCATTTTTCCTTATTTGTATTTCCTAAACTTTTAACAATGAATATGTACATTACTTTTGTGAGAAGAAAAAATAATTTGAAGAAATATTCAAAATTAAAATGCATATTAATAGGAGAAAGAAATGGAACTGGTGGTATGAAAAAGCAAGTCAATAATAAGGTGGGAGGGAATGTGACAAGTTCTTATGGAATGCAAAGAAAATAGAGATGAAAGAATAAAAGGGAAGCTGAGAGCTTTTGAAAACAGAGAGTGGAGATCAAGTAAATGGATAATTGTTTCCTGAAGAAGAGATCAGAATAAAGCCAGTCAAGCAAGAATCTAGTATATTTTCTGACCTCTTAGTATATTTACTAGATCTCTTTTCTGAGCTATAAACAAACAAACAAAAAATATCCTAGGCATCATATAAAAGACTCATGTAATAGAGAAGTTAAAAACAAAATTCCCTGGTGCCTCAGACAATAAAGAGTCTGCCTGCAATGTGGGAGACCCAAGTTCGATCCCTGGGTCAGGAAGATCCCCTGGAGAAGGAAATGGCAACCCACTCCAGTATTCTTGCCTGGGAAATGCCATGGACAGAGGAGCCTGGCAGACTATAGTCCATGGGATCCCAAAGAGTCGGACACAACTGAGAGACTTCACTTTTCTTTTAAAAACAAAGGAAGGAGGGAAGGAAGAGAAGGGAAGGGAGAGGGGGTAAGGGGAGATGAATGAACTAACAAAGACCTTACTCCTAGACATTATCTGGCAAGAGTTTTAAATTATAAGTAAAAAGAAAAAATCCTACAAGCATCCTAGCTGAAACAAAAACCCCACAAAAGAGGCTGTCCAGAAAGAAACAAAAGTCTGTGCGGCTTCCATATCAAATTTCAGAAGGTAACGGAACAAGATTTTCAGCGTTTGAAAGGAAAAGTGTTCTTACCCTGTATCTCACACCTTGTCGTGCTGCCCTTTCCTTTGAGCATGAAGATGACAAAAGGACATGTTTCAAAGGAAAGCACAAGGGATTAGGGTCCAGGTGACCAAGAAGGAACCTGACCTCACGAGGTACAGCTGCCACAACTATGTCAAGGTCACCCTCAGGCCCTCGGGTGCACTTTGCAGCTCCCTCAGCTACTCCTGCGTTTTCGCTTTGGCAATCTTCTTTCCCAGGATGAAGGGACTCATCAGGGTATCTCTCTGTGCCCCATTCTGGCTGAGGTCATAAAGCACACTGCCTCCTCTGCTGAGGACACACTTCTGCCTGGACATTGGCTCTCTAGGTTCTGGACTCCTGCCCCATTTCTTCTCCAATCCAAGCAGCAGCTCCACTTCACCTGCGGGAACCCTATTCAGCATCAGGCTGGCTCCTCTTGCAGCCAGGAAGCCCCCGCTTTCCCAAAGAAACTTGGCCATTCCTTGCTTTGCTGATTCAGCACCTCGTCCCATGCCAAGAGCTGGGGAGGTGCCCTCAAGGAAATTTCAGGCTAGTTATGGAGAGACATGTGGCAGACACGCAAGGATTCTTACTCAACACCCTTTCCAATCACCTTCTTAGCCTATTTCTGCCATAATGGCTGGAAAACCTACTTCAAGTCCCAATTTCCAGTACAGCTAGGGTGCCCTATGACACACACAGAGGTTCCAAAGAGGGTTATGTTTCTCTCAAAACAAGGCAAGGCGTGCCACCAAAAAGAAGTCCTTCCCCTTTGGTCTTCTCTTTTTTCCTGCCTGGAACACAGATAAGATGCCTAGAGGTTCAACAGCCACATGTGATCGTGAGACAAGTTGGAGAATGAAAGCCACTGTGCTGAGGGTGGTGACTCAGCGAGAGAGCAGGTCTCAGAAAGCTGCTGCACCAGCCCTGAGTTGGCCACATCTGGATTTCACGTGAGATAAGAAAAATAAGCCCTTGATTGCACCTCAATTTCTGATCTTTGCAGCCAAGCACATTCCTAACTGCCACAGTATGGTATACGAAATTAAGGAGTAACAAAACCTCAACTATTCAGACAGCCTCATTCTCAGTAGTCAGATTATTATAAATCCAAGGGTGTTGTGTTTTTAAGCAGTAAGACCTTTTCAAAATATTTTTCAAAATACGTCACACATCCGTTTTTTCGTATCATTCTATGATGAGCTGAAAGATGTGGATAGCCTCATGACTAAGGAAAACACATGCAAAGGCTGGTAGCAAATTTTCTAAATGACCTCAGACTTCCATGATCGTTCAATATTCTTTTGACTTTTTCTGTCTTCTCTGACTCTCCACTGCAATTCTCAATAACCCCACCAATTTCAGTGTCTCTTTTTACCTCTAATTTTCTGCTATATAGATTTAAAATTACGAGTAGCAATTTTCTAGAAGGGATTATAAGCAAGCATTAGACTGAGTGAGAATCTGAGGGGTCTTGCTTTTAAAGTCAGGGCAGGGTAAGGCAGTACCTGGGGCATGAGCTCTTCTTGTGAACTTTAAGCCAGATAGATCTCAGCTTCTCAGAAGCCTTTTTGTTTTCTTTTTGACTCTTAACTTTGTCCTGGTTAGGTAAAATTATGAGGACCTGAGATCCAGAAGTTTGAGGTACAAAGCAATGACCCAAGGTAAGTTACAAGGTCGCTTGTGATTAAGGTGAAATGGATGCTACAAGCCAGCAGGGTTATAGACACTCGTGGGAGGGAGAGGTTCTGGTGGCCAGAGTCAAGGGAGGCTTAGTGACACAGCTCTGCAGGAGGCTCAGACCCTGGATGGGTGCAGATGAGAGAAGCGGTCCTTCTGGGCAGGCGATAGATAACACAGGCAAAGCCTGGGAGTAAAAGGATAGCTTCACTCCGAGATCTACAGTCTCCTTAAATCCCTCCAGCTGCCAGTCAAGGCCGAGGCTCACCTTGTGTGTGGCCTGTGCCCAGGACCCATAACTGGGTTTCTGAGTTCTGCCTTAGCCTGGGTCCCCACCCTAGCAAAGCCATCTGCACCCCAGTCCCTGGACCTGAGGCCTTGCCTTGGTTTACCTGAACAAGGAGCACAGCCGTGGCCGTTGGTCCACGGGCTGTGGCTGGGACCCTGACATCAGCCGGCAGGCTGCTTAGGCTTGACTCCTCTGGAAAACGGCGATGATAACTATCACCAGGCTCTGCTGCGTATTTAACTTTTTCTTTTCCCCCTCACTTGCTCCTTGTTACAACCTAAGAGGGAAGTATTATTAACTCTGTCTTGCAGATGATGAAACTGAAACTTGGAGAAGTGAAACAACTTGCCAGAAGTCACACAGGTCTTAAGCACATAGTTAGGGCTTGAGCTAACCTGTTCCTTCTAGTTTTCAGTTTTCCATGATCACCTTCCCAAGTGTACCAGTCATGTTAACCCTTACAAGCCCATCTAGACACCAGATTTTTGCTTCTCCATCCTGTTTTCTTTCTTTTCCAGAAGTTGATTCCTTAAATTTTTCTAAATTTTAGATTGCCACAACTCACACATATAGAAAATATTAGACATTCATGTACTCCCCACTCAGATATAAGAGGTATAACAGATATTAACATTTTGTGTAATTAACATATTACTTTCTCTTTTTTAAAGGAAATTAAACACAACAGGTAGGTCTAAAGCCTCATGGTCCATCCCTTCACCTGCCACACCCTGCCACAAGCAAACAGTATCATCAACTGGCATCCATTATTTTCATGAATTTTTGTTTGTGCATGTATGTATCCATAAAGAACATATGTTATTTTTGCATGTTTTAGAATGTTACATAAATAACATCATAGTGAACATTGTTCTGTCTTAAGTTCCTTGTCTGTAGTGTGGGAATGATAAGGACTCCACCTCATAGGAGCTGTTTCGAGGATTAACTGAATGAAGGTGTGCAAAGCCTTTAGGGTAGTGCCCGGAGTGTGGTGGGCAGGTGCCATGTTAGGAGCTGGGATTCTTCCTGTTGCTCGTGTTACCGTCATCCTATCCTCACACACCCTTGTGCAACTTACTTTCCTTAAGTTAATATCACTCCTTGGAGATTATTATGTTGATGCTAGTAACCGAACTCATCCAACTGCTGTATAACAGTCATTGAATGAAGAAAACACACTTCTGTGTTCATTCTTTCACATTTGGGTTGTTTCTATTTAATTGCTATTATAAATAGCACTGAAATGGACTCTCTAGTACTAACCCTCTGCCGTACAGTTATAAGAACTGATCTGACTGGACATCTACAGAGTTTATGGATATTGACATGTGCTCATCTTCAGTGTATTAGCTATTGCAAAATCACCTTCAGAGATGGTTGTATTACATCAGTTATCACCAGCAGCCCTTGAGGGTTCCCATTCCCCATAATCATTGTTAACATATGTATTTAAACTTCTGTTTCATGTGTGTACAGTGGTGTCATAATTTATTATGGTTTTAATTTGCATTCCTTTCACTATTTGAAAAGATTGAAAGATGTTCATATATATACATATATTTTGAGATTGGTTCATATATATATTGGCCATTCAGGCTTTGCTTGTCCATAATTTTTCTGTTCATACATTTTATTATATTTTTCTATTGTCTTTCCTTTGTCTATAGTCTTTCCTTTTCTTTGTCTTTGTCTATTGTTTTTATCTGTCCTTTTTTCATACAGAATTTTTCTTGTTTTAATGGACTTTATCAATATTTCCTTTTCTTGTTTGTACTTTCAGTGAATTGTTCAAGAAACTCTATCCTAAACTGAGATTTTTAAAAGACACACTCTTAAAGTCTCTTCTAAAAAGTCATAGTTTGCTTTTTCACATTTAAATCTCTAGCGCATCTGGAACTTATTTTTGTGTGTGGTGAAAGGTAAAAAGATTGACTTTTATCTTTCCTCATATGACAACTGTTTTAACACCAGTAATTTAATATTTCATCCTTTCTGCTCAGATTTATAATGACACTCTCTGTGTATTTCTAGACTCTCTATTCTATTGGTTTATTTGTTTATCATTCTATACATATCACACTGTTATCGTTTTTGGAGATTTGAATATTTTAGTATTTGGAAGGCAAATATCTTCATATTATTAATATTGTCAATATTATTTTCATTATTCAAAATTGTCCTGTCAACACTTAGCCCTTGTGGACATGAATTTAATAGCAGTTTAAGCCATGGAATATTGCCTTTTGGGAATTTGACTGAAACTGCATTGCATTTATAGAATAACTTGAGAAATTTGGACATCTTACTGAGTTTAAGTCTTTTCTCATCCATAAGTATAATATATTTTTCCACTTTTTAGGTACTTTTGCATGTTATTAAGTAGAAATTTTAATTTTTTCCAGAGTTTTTATTAGATACCAAATTGCTAGTATAAATCATATATTTTCAAATAATATGTTTGCTTACTGTTTTTATTAATATTTTTGTATTAATCATATCCAGTACCTTTATTAAACTTGCTCATGGTTCTAATGATTTTTTAAATTATCCTGGATTTTATAGGTGATCATTAATTTTTTTGAAAATTAAATGTTTCTAAATGGGGTAAAAGGTTTGAGTTTCTTCTGATTTTATTGATTTATGATCAAAGAATGTTGTCTATGTTATTGATTCATTTGCATTTGTCTTTATGTGATTGAAAAGAATGTATATTCTCTACCTACTGGATTTAGGAATCTACATACTTTCATTAGACCAAGGTTATTAACCATTGTTAAAATCTGCAACCATACTAAATTTTTATCTGTTTGACTTATCAATTACTGAGAGTGTTGTATGAAAATCTTCCACTATGATTATGTACTTGTCAAGTTTCTCCAAGAATTTTATTACTTTTTGCTTCACATGTATTGAAAATATGTTGCTAAATCTATACAAGTTCAGAATTATCCTATCTTCCAGGTTAACTGCTCTTTTTGTCATTCTGATACTTATTTCTAATGAAGTGTTTTGTCTGAAAGTTTAATTTGATGGGTATTAATATTGCTATACCAGCTTCTTTCCTGTAGACGGTATGTTGCTGGTATACTTAATTTCATTTTATGTATTCTCAGAAATTTGTGCCTCATATATTTAAACTGGATTTTATTTCTTTTAATTTAATATGAGAACATTTATTCTTTAGTGGATGAATTTAGTTTAGTTTATTTCTATTTATTGTATTATTTACACATTTATCTTACTTTTTGCTATTAGCATGCTTTTTCTTTCTTCATTTCCTGACTTCTAATGGATTGATTGAGTCTTTATCCCCTTTCATTTCCTCTCCTAGTTTAGAACTTATGCATTTCTCTTTGGGGTGCTTAGTTTTACAATTTTAATATGCATACTTGATGTATCAAAGTCTAAAGTTAATTATTCTTTGAAGTCAGTGAATGGATGGCAACCAAGATATGTTTTAATTCTTATTATCTCCTTTCTTTCTCAAATATCACTGTGTTTTAGTGTTTAGGGTCCACATTTTCTCATGTCTTGATAATAGTTATTATTAATAGTATCATTTTGTACAGTTATTGCTTCCTTAAATTTGTTACATAATTATCATTTTTTGGCTCACCTTTATTTCTTAGATCTCACACAGTTCTTCTGGGTACAATTTTCTTTTTCTTAAAGTATATTCTTCAGGAGTTTAAGCATGAGTCTATGAAAAACTCATGTTTAAGCATGTGTCTATGAGTGGTAAGTCTTATTTCTCTTTGTTTGCTTGGAAATCCATTAATTTTGCCCTCATTCTGGAATAGTTGAGTATAGAATTCTAGGTTTGGCTACACCATACAGCTTGTGAGATTGTAAGAAATCTTAGTTCCTTGACCAGGGATTGAACCCAGGCCCTCAGCAGTAAGGGCATGGAGTCCTAACTACTGGACCCCAGGGAATTCCCAGAGGATTGAAAATATTATCCCATGAACTTATATCTTCAACAGCCTGCTGATAGGAATTTGCTATCAATCTAATTGTTTTTATAGAAGATAATCCACCAAATCTGGTTACTTTTAAGATCTTTCTCTTGACCTTTGGTGTCACCACAATGTATCTAGATGAAGATCTGTTCTTATTTATTCTGGTCAATGTCTTTTGTTACTTTAATCTGAAGATTCATATCTTTGCTTAATTCTGAAAAATCGTGATCAGCCATTGTCTCTTCAAATATTTCCTCTCACCTATTCTGTGTATTCTGTTTCTGAAACTCCTGTTCAGCATGTCAAGGCATATTCCCTCCTCCACATCTCATGACCTCTTACTGGTATTTTTCCAACCTTTTATGTCTCTGACACATCTGTATATTTTGTTTATATTTTTCTACAGTTTGCTAATTATCTATTCAACAATTTCTAATTGTGTTGTTTAACCCATCCACTAAGTGTTGATATTTAGTAACTGTATTTTCAGTTCCTGTATTTTTGCTTCCTATATTGGTCATAGGGGGCTTCCCATGTGGCTCAATGTAAAGAATCTGCCTGCCAATTCAAAAGATGCAGTCTACAGTCCATGGGATTGCAAGAGTCGGACATGACTTGGCAACTAAACCACTGGCATGGAACAAATGTTCTCTACCTGAGGGGTAGAGTTCCCAAGTCACATTTGCAGTGTAAAATGACACCTCAAGCCCACCTGTATGTAAGCCTAAGTTATTAATTCCCCAGCAATTGTCTTTTTAATCTAGAGTTCTTACAGAGATATGCTTACTGTACTGAGGAGCAATTTTTTTTTCCTAGTCTATTTTTTCACTGAAGATGTTCCTGTGAACTTCTAGGGATCCTGGCTTTTTTGTATATTTTGCCTCATACAGAGCCAGAATATAATTTCTGACCCCAAATGTGTATGGAAATGTATCCTATAGACTGTTGAACATGAAGGTTTCCTTCTCCCAAGATTCAGAGCATCCATCGTAGCTAATATTTTGGTTTTAAATTCTCTCATTTCTGACACCTGGAGATTTCTCTTTTTTCCTTATACTTCCAGCAATGCATTTTAAATTATTTAATAGATTATGTCCAAAATTCGTGTCTCTGAAGCTTTTCTGATTCCTATAGTATTCCTTTAAATTGGCAGAAACAGGAGCGAACCACCTGTCTCAGTAGTTCTACTGGCCTGAACCTCCTTCCAACACCTACAGCTGGGTCTGTGCCCTCAGTTCCTGGTCCACCTATGAGGCCAAGAGCAATATTCCCCCTGCCCCATTCTTATCTGCCCCAAACTTCTGCAGTGAGTCAGGCCGTGCCCAGTCACATCCCAAAATATAATTCAAGATGGGCATGGAGCTTAGGGAGATAGAGTGAGTGAGAATGAATCCCCTGGAAATGTGGAGCTTGGGTCTATTCTAGGATGCAGGATGGCTTAAAATCAATTCAAAAGCCAAGCACAGCTTATTCTGAAAGCACATCATTCACAAAAACTTGACCCAAAGGGCACCATACTGCCCAAGGATGGCCATGACAATGCGTATCACAAGAAGAAGAGAGAGGCTCAAGGGAAGAACCTAGAGGAGCCTGGAGTTGCCTTCCTCTGCCAGGAAGGTGGGAAACAGCCCGCTTAAGAAGAAGTTCTGGGAATGGCTTGAAAAGAGTTTAAATCTATTACCTGTGTCTCCATACTCTCCAAAGATATTGATGAAGACGTCAGCATCAGTCCCTGCACCAATGACATCACCAGTGTACACTTTGACTTCATACTTGTTACCTGGAAATGAAGACAGAGAAAGTGTCAGCTCGTTCTGGTCCTGAGCAGAGAAGAACAGAGGCCTCAAAGTAGATACCACACCATCCACCCTTCTTTCCAGCAGCACATGAATTGTCACCGTTACTGTCAATAACTGAGCAAGACTCAAGTCACCTGACTTGGTTTCAAGTGGTCATTGCTGAACATTGCTGATTTGTGCATGCAGAGCACAAATCAGAGGGAGAGGGGACTTCTGTTTTCATCTACTAACTTGTTGCCTTGGGATGCATGAGTCAATCCAAATGCAACTAGCCCACCAGCATATCTCCCCTGGATACTGAAATGACTCCAGCTGGGCCCACTGCCTCTATGCTATTTTTGCCAATCTGTTCTCTACACTGCGTCACATTATAAAAATTCATTGGAGAAAACTGATTATGCAAACAAAAACCAAATTTATATATAAATTGTCAAGGCCATAACCAATGCAAAGACCAGTGGAACCAATAAGAGCCAGCAAATATACATTTTGGCATCACTTCATTTAAAGACCTATATCTGCTTCCCATATCTTGCTCCATTTTTTTAACAGAAATCCATTCTCTGTAACCCCAAAATGCTTCAGTTTTGGCCATGGCCTCAAGAGGGGGTGGTGTTCAATGTAAATTTGACAACATGTTAAGCCATACTTAAATCTTCCCAACCAGATCTTGCCTTAGAGTGGGGAGCAAAAGCCAGGAGTTTCTACGTGCTGCAAAAGGAAGATTCCTCTAGATTTTCTTTGTGGGCCAACAATTCTAAGGGTTGAGGCAACTTTCCCTTATCTTTCCCCTTGCTGCCATAGCTTTCTATTTTTTATGTTCCAGAATCTTTTTTTAGCTATCTTATGCCCAATATATGGGGTTCCCAGTTGGCACTAGTCTAAAGAAGCCATCTGCCGATGCAGGAGACATAAGAGACATGGGTTCGATCCCAGGGTTGGGAAGATCCCCTGAAGGAGAGCACAGCAACCCACTCCAGTACTCTTGCCTGGAAAATCCCATGGACAGAGGAGCCTGGCGGGCTACAGTCCATAGGGTTGCAAAGAGTTGGACACNAATCCCATGGACAGAGGAGCCTGGCGGGCTACAGTCCATAGGGTTGCAAAGAGTTGGACACGACTGAAGCAAACAACTTAGCACATCCACATGAACATGCCTAGTATATGAAGCCAATAAAAGGTATTTAACTGAGGCCCGAATCCTAGCCCCTCTGCCTGCCTCCTCCCTAGAGCTTTCCTCAGTGTCCCAGGCCCCAGCGATCTTTCTCCCCGTGCTCCTTGGCTCTGCCATGTAGTCGGTCTCAATGATTTCCCAGTCTCACCATCTCCTCCCTGTTCTGTTTGCTGTTTCCTGCAGGTGAGGCTTGTAAGTTCCTTAAGAACTTAAAAGAGGACTGGGAGCAGGACTTCCTTCTCTCATCTGATTTCTCTCACAGCTCCTAGCACAGTGCTGGGCACATATGAGAGTCTCACTGAGTATATTGAAAAGCTCATTGAATTTCCTAAATCTCAAAGTCTGGTGAAGTTGCTGAGGGCAAAGGACTGAGGTGTGGAGGTGAGAACAAAGCCAGTTTTCTCCCTTCGCACCTTGAGGCCTGTCCAGCAGTACAGGGCTGCCCTCTAAGACGGCACAGTGCAGATTCTGCAGCGGATCCATGGAGGACTCCCCACCCACAGTCCTGAAGGCTGAGTTTTGACCGGCTGAGGACCTTGAGCTCAGAGGGAGTAATGTCTTCTCTTTTTCTCCTCAATCTCTACTTGGCAAAACCCATTCAGGGAAGAGAAGACCCTCCAATCCTTGTCCCCACATGTAGGCTCCAGTAGGACAGTTGGTCTCAGATTCCCACCCCTTCTTGGTTCACCACAAAGATACTTTTGAGATGGGAACTGAGCCAAGCCTTCAGACATGCAAACCCTGGCTCAGTGACTTGAAGCTTGGGCCACATTTGGGCTCCCTGGGGAGCCTGTTAACATGGCTGCCTTCCAGGCACCCTTCATCACGTGGGTCATCAGCAGATCCTGCTCTTGGTCATCCTTCAGGTCCAGAGGCCTCCCTCAGGGGTGGTTCTTTCCTCCTCTGGCTGGGTGGGCCTCTGAGAGTCACTCGCTTTGGTTCACATCCTTTCTCAGGTGCAGTCAGGGCTCACAAAGAGACAAGACCCCTCTGCCAGGCTGGAGGTACCAAAATGGCATGGGGACAGGGAGAGGCTCTGAAGGCCTCTGCTGAGCATCAGAGGGGCAACAGGACCCCAAAGGGAACTGGGCACAGTGAAGCAGGAGAAAGGACGAGGGGACTGGGGGATATTTGTTGAAGGAGTACAGACACTCTGAGTCATTCCAGAAGGCAGAATTTGAATTAGTGGGATGAAGTATAAAGAGGGATATTGTAGCTCACCAAAAGAAACATTTTCTAGTATCTAGGGCTCTTCAACAAGGACTGGGATACCCTTGGGGGAAGTGAGTTCCCATTCCCAGAGACACCTAGGTGCTCACTCTGTGCCAAGCACACAGTGAGGAGACATCTCACAGCTCCTTGTACAGTGCTGGGCACATATGAGCGTCTCACTGAGTATGTCAGGGACTCTGGAGGAAATGGCAGAGGTGAGGGATGTGAGAACACTGGATCCTCTGTGGTCTGCAAGTCCATGACGTTTGACCAGGAGTGGCAGCCTTGCAGACTGTGGAGGGAAGTCAGGAGAACAGGGAGGCGTCTCAGAGGGTGGGAGAGGTAACCAGGGCCCACAAAGATGAGGCCAGGGAAGCAGGAACCCACCAAGGGCTTAGGGAACACACATCCTAGTCCTGGGAAAGCCCAGGGAGGCAGAGAACCAGGGCTGAAGTGAGGCAACAGGGGCAACAAGCCAAGGGCCAGGGACCAATAGGCCAGAGAAAGCTTCCAGGCCTTTCCAGGTGAGGCGACCAGGGGCTGATGCCCAGGGGTCAGGAAGCCAGATGAACAGGATGCAGGGGGAAGTCAATTCTGAAACAAAACTGCTGCTGCTGCTGCTGCTGCTAAGTCACTTCAGTCGTGTCCGACTCTGTGCGACCCCATAGACGGCAGCCCACCAGGCTCCCCCGGCCCTGGGATTCTCCAGGCAAGAACACTGGAGTGGGTTGCCATTTCCTTCTCCAGCGCATGAAAGTGAAAAGTGAAAGCGAAGTCGCGCAGTCGTGTCCGACTCTTAGCGACCCCATGGACTGCTAGACTGTCCTAAACTCTGTGGGACTTCTGCAGCAGAGTGAGACCTGGGGCCCCCGTGCAGTTGGCTGAATGGAGAGTCTGTGGCCTTTATCACACTGAGGAGGGGCCAAGAACTACCTTTTAAATCCATCCTTTAAAGGCCCCATAGACAGACAATGAAGCTTATTTTATTACTGTTCTCTTTTCCCCGTATTTCCTCTTCAAGCAGAACCCCATAGTATCTGATTAGCCGTTTTCCAAGCAAAGCCCAGGGCCCAGCGTCCATCCTGAGTTGTGATAAAAGTATAAAAGCAGGGCTTCATCCCCTCACAGGTGGCAAACAGCCAGCATGATACCGCAAGGCTTCCTCTTCAGAGGTCGCTTGAGAACCCCCCAACTTCCTGCAATCAGAGTTTCAACAAGCACAGACTTTCCATTCTGGTTACAGGTGGGTGTTTCAGCCAGGGGGAAAGGGGAAGAGCCAATAACAATCCCCGCCCCAGAGGCCAAGGGAGCAAGGCGGCCTGGAGAAAGACAATGAGAAGAAAGGTGGAAAGAAGGGGCCAGAATGACCCACCTTCTTGGGCAAATAATACGAAACATTCATATGGGCCTTGCAGTTCACAAGGCACTTGCCTGTCTTTGTGATCCATGCAAGGGCCACATGAGGTGGGCAGGTAGCGAGGACATTCTCGCTGACAGATGAGGAAACTGAGGCTCAGAGAGCAAGGACACACAGCTGCTAAATGTTGCCAGCAAGGCTCAAAGCAGGTCTCTTGTCTCCAAATCCAGGGCCACTTCCAGAATACTTCATGGGCTTTCATGCTTTGGACCAGGGGCTGGCTACGTTTTTCTGTGAGTCCCTGATATTAAATATTCTCGGCCTTGCAGGCCTCTCGGTCTCTGCTGCACTTACTGAGCTCTGCTACTGTAGCGCCAAGCAGCGGCCCACAGTCCTATGTAAATGCTACATAAGCAAATGGGCCCAGCTGCGTTCCAAGGAAACTTTATTTATGGACATGGACACTTGAACTTCACAGAACTTTCCTGTGTCACGAAACACTCTTCTTGTTTTGATTTCTTCTCAATCTTCCAAATACGTAAATGCCTTTCTTGGCTCAGAGTCCACACAAAGACAGGTGACAGGCCAGGTGTGGCCATCCCCTGCTCTATGTTGTCTTGTGTTTTCGGGCACCATCCTGTGTGTTTCTGGACAGAGGACTGCAGACCCCTCTGCTCTCTGGGGCCTGGATGGGAGCAGTGCTACCTAGCCCAGGGGAGTCAGTTATTTACAGGATAATCATAGCACATCCTCGCCGCTAGCTTCCCTGGTGGCTCAGATGGTGAAAGCATCTGCTTACAATGTGGGAGACCCGGGTTCAATCCCTGGGTGGGGAAGATCCCCTGGAGAAGGAAATGGCAACCCACTCCAGTACTCTTGCATGGAAAATTCCATGGATGGGGGAGCCTCGTAAGCTACAGACCATGGGGTCGCAAAGAGTCCGACGTGACTGAGCGACTTCACTTTCACTTTCACTGCTAGCTAAGCAGCTCAGGGCTCTAAAGGTTGGGGAAAGACTGCCCTTTCTCTGCCAGGGTGGGGAATGAAAAGGACCATGAATGGTGCTCCGTTTTCCCCACCCCTCACAGTGCTGTGTGACTGCGCTGAAGCTGCCATTCCTTTGAGTCCAATTGAGAAGAGGGGCTAGTCTAATCTGGGGATTCCTGAAGGTGGGGACGATGGCAGGTCCAGTTCTGCAAACTTAGGCCTCATGCCTTTCAGCTCATTGCCTGGTTGTG